TTTTTTTTTTGCATTATCAGAATATTTAAGTTTATCTTTTGCCTTAAAATATCTAGCATTTACCTGTTTAATGGTTGAAATTGAGACATTTTTTTCAGTAGTTCTACCATTGATCACAGTAACATACTATAATAATTAGATCAAGAAAGTGTTCAACAATAAAGTTCTCTGAAAAACTGCACTTTACCATAACATAAGTCAAAAATGTCATATTACTTACCTATGACCATGCTGGTGATGTAGACAGGCAGAATGAAGTTGCTCAGTAGTGCCCCCTGAACCCCAGTAATGATCCAGGAACTCAGCTTGTCACTGCTGGAAATGCTGCAGACTTTGGCTCCCGAGTAGCTTGGGTCAAGGTAGGCCACAGGGACCATCAGGCCTTTTGTATGACACTGGAGCTTCACTGCTGCCCAAGCGTTGCTTGAGTCACTACAGTTGAACAACATAAAAGTGTAAAAATTGTTGTTGGCCACAACAATTGTATCAACTTGCATTAAACTATAGAGGGAAAACAAATATAGTGGTGTCTTCACTTGAAGAAGATGTTGTTAGCAGCTCCTTCTGGACAGTGATTGGAATAGACATGCAGGCGGATGTTGGCTTTGAGCAGTAGCTGATGGCTGTCTTCGCTGTTTTCAAAGACACAGTTCTCCTGCGCCACTGGATCAGCATCAAAGAACAGCATGAGCTGTTTGTAGAGGAACCTGAGCAGAAAATGAACAAAATCTCACAACAATGTGGAAGAGAATCAGTCTGGTCTGATAAGTAGCAAATGGTAAAAGAGTTAAAAACCATTCATTCACTTAATACCATTAAAATCTATTTGCTCCTTTAAACAGGTTTAAAAGAATATGCACATTATATTCTTCATAGACACGTAATAGACCTGTTCAGTTTAAACAGTAAAAGTGAGAAGTCACAACTTAAAAAAAAAATTAAAGCAGGGTTTCACCTCAGGAACGCACGCCTTGCAACGACGATGGCATGACAGTCATGGACCATCGTCCCATTGTAGCAAAGCCATCTGTTACAGCTGGAACTACCAGTACCTAGCGCGACAACCTTGTACTGATGATACGGACAACCTTCTGCGTCAGTCACTTCTGTTGAGAAAAAGAAACCGGTTTAAAGAAATCATGATTGATGGAGGTGTTGAAAATAATAATGTATATATACAGATATACAGATATACATATATATATACACATATACATATATGTATATATACAGATATACATATATACACACACATATATATACATATATACATACATTTATACATATATACAATCATATATACACACACACGTATAACAACACTTAACACAGTAATTCCCTCCTGTAATCACCAAACCAAGTGAAACCAATAACTAAGAATTATTATAACATTTTCATAAGTTGAAAACGAAATTTGAAATGTAAACAAAGCCAAATGTCCACTCATTTATTATTTATTTTTTGTTTGAAATAGAAATTTAAAAGAAAAAAAACCATGATATATGTATATATATTTTTTTATGTGTATATGTTTTTGGGGAGCATAGCTGAAGTCTTTTTTTACTAAAAGTCAGGATTACAGCCAAAGGTAAAGTTGGCATAGAAAATAAATACAATACAGATGTAAATGGAAATGTATAAATCACATGTTTCAGAACCACAAGTCTGCTCATTCATTTACTAACTGAAGGCCAAACAGCAACTCACCTTTGGTCAAGACAAAAGCTGCCATGTGGCTCTTGCAGCCGTGAAACTCCGGGAACATCTTTAGGAGGCTGTTGAACTTTTCGCTACTTATCAAAGCCATTTGTTTCTTGTGCCACTCACTCGACCATCCTGAAAAAAACAAACAAAAAATGTCAGCTGCAACTGCACACTTTAATGATGAGGAGTCCTCACAGGGTCCTGAAACTGACTGGTCTTGATGAAGCTCTGCTCCAGTTTCTGGGTAAACTATGACAGCTCTTCATTGGTCCATGGGGTAAAAACAAGAAATGCGGACAACAGAAAGGCTTTATAATGTGGCGAAGCTTCGAGTCATCAAGGAGGCTGGAGCGTCCTACATCGAGGCAGGATACACTCGGCGCATCAATGCAACATCAGGACCACAGCATGCGTCAATGTTCACAACAGTCAGAAGTGGGCCTTGCTGCACAGTTGTTTGTGTAAAAAAAGGGCACGATTTTGATGAAAATTATCTCAAACATCAGAAATGTCAGAATGATAAAAAAAAATTATAATTATTAATAAAATCATTTGGTTTCTCTCTGAAAGTAAACTTAAACACCTGCGATTCCAACTGCTCTGATGGTTAAAGTCATATTTAAAGCAGCTTGCCATAGCACAAACTGTAACATGGTGTAGATATTACTGGACAGCTTTTGAAATGACAACATCTGTATTAGAGCCTTCGACTAACCTTTGTATCTACTTGATAAAACTAACAGTACATTTGACATTTACTACAAAAGCTGAGCAGTCTTTCTCTGCCTCACCCTCTCACTGGTTCAAACTAGGTGGTTAAAGTGACATAATTTACAACCATTTTCACATGCAAAAAAAGATGATGCTGTTGCAGCAGACATTCCGCTAAATAACCAAGAGAAGCTTTTAGTTTCCGAAACCAAGGAATGTGACTTTGACTGCACATCACTCAGACTTCAAATATTTAGAAATGAGAAAATAATTAGACATCCAAACTCATATTAACTAATGTAAGATCTTACTCCTGCTCATTATATTGCACAGTGCAAGACTCGCCTATACCTTCAGGAGTTGCGCTCTTGTCTTGATTGCCGAAGTCCTTGAGCTGGTCTAGAGGGAGCTCTTCTTCCAGCATCACGCTTTCAGCAGGTGACACACTAGAGACGGACAGGAGATTTGAGTCATCGTCTGACTCTTCCACCTAACAAAGAAACAATTAAACATAAGGAAAGACAAAGAAAAATTAACACTCGCATGTCTTCCATCAGACACACATGATCCAAACCCGCTGACACAAGATCATGTAACGTGTGAGATAAATAATGAAAATGTAATGTTTAGCACGGAGTTGCGTTGCTGCAGATGGTTTTAAACCCCTCCAGTTATCTGGATAATGGCATGAAACACTGACGCACTTCCCGGTTAATTATTGCAGATGTTGAGATTTCAGTTTGATATTGAATTTTCAAGTGGGCCTCATTACCATTTTTCATTTATTTTCTTCGCCTGTGAGTATGACTCTCAAAACATAAGAGCAATACGCTAACCCTAATATGAATTCTCCTCTTGTCAATAAGTCTCATTAAAAGCATTTTCACTTTTAATAAACTGCATGCAGCACCAAGGTGATGAGAAACTTTGATGAAACTCGTCGCGTTTATTTACCTCATCTTCCAACAGGATGTCAGGAGATTCATCGATGCTCTCGAGTGTAAGATTGACAGATCCTTCTAATCTGCTTCCATCACAGTCCTCATAAAGAAAATCTGTCCCTTCAACAGGGTCACTGGAGGCATCAGCATCTACCCTGGATATAGATTGAGCATGGATAGATATGGTACATGAGTAGGAAATATTGTCTACAAAATGTCTGGACAAATGAGACCAAGGACAACACTATAAGTCAAAATACTGCTGTTCATGTAAGATTGTGGTATTTTTTGTAACAAAGCTTGACAAATTTTGCATGAAATAAAAAGATTGTAAAACAGACGGTGCTGAGAGATAATCAAAAGTGCCCTTAAAATGGTTGTTATACTGTAAAAAAGTACAAAAAGTAAAAAAATACAATATAACTGAAAAATGCAATCATCATACTTTGTTAATACAATTAATAACCAGTATTACATTAGATTAAGTTTGACAAAGAAAACATTTATTACCTCTGCTCTGAAGTGCTGCTGTAAAACGGCTCATCTTCTGTCAGGTAGTCCTGAGGATCCAGAAGGTCCAAGGTTGACTCAAAGTCTGGTGGAAGCCTGTGAGCACCTCTTCTTGGATTGGAAGTGTGATTATCCATGGTTAACAAGAACACTGTGAAGAAACATAACAGAAAAGAATGAATAAATGCCATTTTCAGCCAAAATGTAGCCCATAATAAGAAAAGGTAAAAACTGTTAAAAGTTTAATACTGTATTTTATACCATATTAGCAGATTAAGAAAAAAATAATTAACACAATTTAAACATTATCTAAAACCCAATGCTTTATTGTCGCCATCAAGCGAGTAAAAATCCTGCCTTTTGGCCAAGTATTAAATGACTAAATACCATGGAAACGCACTACCACCCCACGCCACAAGCGGCGATGTGCGCTATCTCTATCTATCTCTTATCTTTTCGCTCATGTAGCTAATAATCAATCGACACCTGCCAATATAATTGTGAACTCAAACATTTCACACAATCTTGCAGATATCTTTTGAAACATAAAAATATGTCTAGGGCATCTAACGATCCAACTCCAACTTAAGGTTACAAGGTTACTTCACGCAGATTATTTACAAGATAAAAGTAATATTTGCAAATAATCACAAAAACTCTGGCTTTCGTTATGACAGCTGAGGTATCCAACACCGTTGCTACACAACACTTAACACTTAACTCATCCGTTTAGACTATACGATCGTGTTTAATTACGTTTTAAACAAACTTAGGTTTAGCTTTACCTCCGTTAGCAACTGAGGCCAGGTAATCCGTGACTTGCCTGAAGGTAGTTACTGAAACTGGACCATGGTATCCGACTTCCGGATTTCAAAGTAAAACCGGTAGAGCAACGCTGTAGTAAGATACAGTTCTGTGAAGTCCCCCACTCAAACCAATCCGTTTTACTGAAGGGGTATACAATGCATAAAAAATAAAAATAAATTGTGTCATTTATTGCTTGCAAATCAATTGCCCAACTGCCCAGAATGTGTGTTTTTCTGTGCCGATGATATTTCCTACAACCTATATACTGTATCTAACTATTAGGGCCTCATTACTTAATGTGTTATCAACAGGAATCCAGAATAAAAACAGCCAATAATAACATAGAATAAGGACAACCAATAAAATGTAGCACAGCCTAGTTTCTGATCCATGTTTGCACTGTGACATTGGTGTCTCCATTTTACTTGAAATTGAGATTGAATCTGGGAAAATGTGAGAGAATAAAAGGGCAGATCTGTCCAATATCACAGGCAGTAAGTAAGCAAATAGGTACAGGGAGGTTTAGAAGATTTCTATGAATTTTAAATTTGTAGCGCTGCACAGTCGCGAAAGCACATATCAATAAAAAAAACACAACTCAAGGCGTATAATGGAAAAGCTCCCATGATGATGTGAGTATGCAATTGTTGTAATATGAAATAGCCTTCTCTCTCCACCTCGCTCTCTCTCCCTCACTGCACAAGGAAAATGTTCCCTTGATCATTGTGAAAGTCAACACTAAACTCTATTTTACTTCCTTCACCTTCCAAAGGAAGGCCTTGAATATGTCTCTCATGAACTAAATGAATCTACCCCCCCCCTCTCTCCCTCTCCTGCTGTGTGTGTGTATGTGAGTGTGTGAGAGAGAAAAAGCCTGTGAAATGTTAAGTCACTCCCATCTCCAGAGAGAATGCTGAGGCGAGGTGGAAACTCTCCCACGTGTCATCTTCATTTATTCCCTCCCTCCCTGACTCCCTTCTCTTTGTCTCTTTCTAGTTCTTTTCCTCCCCTGAAACATCTTTCTCTCTCTGTGTTTTCCCTTTGTCTTGTTTTATACCCCAATGGTCCTTAAAGACCAAAATATATTTCTATTTATTTCTTAATTCAAAATGAGGAAAAACGAGGCACTTGGAACACTGGATCTTAATTTATTTTCCTTCTCTCTCTCTCTCTCTTTTCCTTGCTAAGACAAACTGTTTCCCATATTCGATGTGACAGCTTTTGTGTTGGATTTGGGACAAGCGACACTGTGAAATATTAAGGCTGCTGACGTTCTTCCTTAACATATGTTATTCCGTGTGTGATGTGTGAAAAAATGTGACTGACTGTGTTGATGGGATTTCACTTGTGTGTAAATGTGTGAAAAAAGACAATGCTATTCTCTGGCACTGACAACGCTGATGTAACCCTTTATGTTGGTTGTGCCTGAAAATGAGGAAAGCTTAAATTTGGAACATTACATCTCATGAAGCAGCTGCTGCTGCAGTATGACACATATTTGTGTTATGCCTGAAGCTGCCACAGCCAGGTCCTGGCTTAATGCACAGAATCTGAAGTGGAAAAGGTCCAGGCCTCCCACAGCATTGTCTTAAATATAATACAGGAATTTCACAGGTACAATACTCTCAATCATCATAAATATTTTTTCAAATGTAATTCACTTAAGATACTTTTATTTTAAATAATCAGTTTGTGATAGTGATATTGGTTTTGTAGGGAGGAGATAAGTATAACAAAAAATACTAGTATAATATAATATAATATAATATAATATAATATAATATAATATAATATAATATAATATAATATAATATAATATAATATAATATAATGGCCTTTTTGGCTAAATTATTTTAATCAATGTAACAAAGTGTAAAAAAAAAAAATTGCACTGAACAAAGCAGCAAATGGATGAAAAACAGCATGAAAAGCTTTGTTCAATTCCACCTTTGCTGTGTTGCTTTTAATGACGTAGCGTCATTACAATGTCACTTAACTGTCTGTATTACAGCTGGGTCTGATTTATTCTCATTCTCTGTTTTGATGCGGTTTAATTAAAGCGGCCCTTTGCATTCACCGGCTAAAAAAAAAATTAATGTGAGAATCAGAAAACCTGCACAAGTGACCGCGGGGGGGTCAATTGGACATTCATTATATTTAGAGTGAATTTGAAGAGCCTTTCCCCATTTTCACCACTAGAGGGTAAAAGTCCTTTGCTCGCTCTGTCTCAGTTTATTTCTGTTGCTCACACTTGACCTACAAATGAGCAGCATCAGACACAAGCCAGGGAACGGAGCGGAAGGAAGAGAGGAATGCTGGGATTCAACTGGGCTTCCTCAAATGGTGTAAACTAAATAATTTATTGTACTACATTCCGGTTCTTTATTCTAGTGGATAATTAAACAACCCAGTTGTCAAACACTGTACTAAAGTGTTGTCAGTGAGCCATTTTAAAGAATTCAGTTCTTTAGAATCTTTCTTTAACTTTGCCAGTCCTTTTAGGCGTTTGTCCCTCTCTTTTTTTTATTTTTAACAAGGCATAAACTGATGCACGTGTGCCGTCCAAGCACGCTGAGACTTCCTGATCCATTTCAGAATAATCCTTTGATCCCTTGAGACATGTACGTCATGTGCACAGAACTACACTGCAACAACATGAATGAAGTGACCTTAAAAAAAGAGTATTCCATATATAAAGAATTTTTTTAATCCCAAATTTCCAATTTTGTTCTGGAAATTCCATAGGATCATCTGACTTCAGTGATGTCATACTACATGTTGTCCGTGTGAAGACTTGGCTCAAATGATTACAGTGAAACTCATGTGTTTATACTAAAATAAAAAAAAAAAACTTCCACAATGCACAGAACATACGAAGTACTCCTACAGAACTTCTAAATACTTTCTACATGCTATTACTCCATAGTTTCCACTGTAACTTTTCACTTGTACCTGACGTGTCCTCGTGGTATCATCACATTCTGTAACTGGTATTTACTATACACTGACAGGTGTATGTTTCAAACATGTAGCCTGTTTGGATTTCATACGGTACAATGTGTGTGTCAGTGCGTCTGTGGAGACAAGTTGTTCCCAAAGCAACACCTGTGTTCAAAGAGGAAAAGACACAGAGAGAGACACAGAGAGAGAGAGAGAGAGAGAGAGAGAGAGAGAGAGAGAGAGAGAGAGAGAGAGAGATCACCAGCGTAAGCATGGCAGCCAAATCTAATCTAGCAGGAAGGACACTCACTGTGTCAGAGAAAAACTGATTACCCACTCGTCTCATCGTCAAACCTGCCCGTCCTTTGTTCCTGAGATAAAAGGTTAAGTTAAGGAGCTTTATGTTTTTTTTATTTAATGTTTTATTGTTTTTTGTTTGTTTTTTTTTGACTCCAAAAGTCCAGTGCTGCTCGGCGGAGCAGCTTCTTTGTTTCTCTGCAGTCTGACATCGACTGTGCGTAGCTGCTCCGCCGCTGCTGCTTCTTCATGCATCTTTAAAAGATGAGAGGGAGGCTCTACTTTCTCATGCCACATTTGAGGTGGTGGAAGAAGAGGAAAAGGAGGAGGAGGAGGAGGAGGGTGAAACCAGAGATGCATAGAGGTGAAACACTGGGTAGCGGCATTTGGAGCCCACGTACAGTAGACAGACTCTACTACTGTATGATTGTTAAAAAAAAAAAATCACCTGCTTTTCTCTTCTTTCTTTTCCTCCTCTCTGTCGTGGGAAACAACTCACGATGCAGAAATGCTGCGCCGCGCTTGGTAAACCTCATCAGGATAATTATTGGCACACAGGCATCCAAGGCATGAGCATCTGCCTCTCCTTCTGTTGACCTCCCCTCACTCCCCCTCATTTTTCGTCTCTCCTCCTTTCTTCTCCTCCTCTCTCCATTCTCAGCACCAATCTCTAACTCCTCTCCTCTCCTGATGTTCCAACTATTTCGAAGAGAATTTGTAGATCAGAGGTGAAAAGAATGAATACAGACAGGCAGAAAAATGGAGGCACGGAAGCGGCATGAAGAGACGAGACAATTTAAAGGTTTTGGGAATTAAAAAAAAATGCCTCTAGAATGAAGAGTTTGTGACAAATGCACGCTTTCAATTCCACAAAGCAACAACTGTGTGTTTATTATGAGCCCAGATGGAATTATTATTGTCGTGGAAGAGAGTGCTAGACTCCTTTCACACATCACAATACTTTCCTTTCAAAGCATGCAGCGAAAAACAGATGCTGACCATTTGTTATCACATTTAAATTGATAGATGTGTGTGTGTGTGTGTGTGTTTGAGCAGCACCGGCACATTACTGACCAGAGACGCCGCCAGGAAAGAGGAGTCTCTTTATAAAAACCAAACACGCTCCTCCTGTCCGTGTCTGTTTCCATTGAAAGCCGAAGGTGAGATTCACACAGAACAACTGGCCACAATTCCAAACCCGTTTTCAAAATCATGCGCACAAAAAAATCCAAACAATGTCAAACCAAAAAAACAATTGCGTCCTCGGCCAATCACCTGTATCACTTATTTATAAAGGACACTGAAGAGCAACCGTTGATGACCAAATTGCTTCGTGACCCCAGAGAGCAAAATGATTACACAGAGAGGACACAGGGTTGAGCTGCTCGCAGGCGCTGAACACACAACACACAAAACAAAGAGTGAGTCAAAAATAATATTTGAGTTTTATATAAACATATATTAAACTCATTGAAAAATGTATTTATGAGTGATTCCTCCGCATATTTCAGTCTGAAGACTTCTGCTAGTTGTGTTTCTTATGCTACGTGACGATGTGTTGCTAACTTTTTTAGCCACGCCAATGCTCCTGCGTAGTCATGACAACACTGTTCTGGTCCAAATGGAGCCATGGTTTACGGGGGGGATTGACTTGTGACATTATGTTTTGACATTCATGACCTCCAAAAAATGAATCCTAATATCTCACTTGATCCCCTGACCTTTGAGCTACAGCGATATCACACGGTTCTCACCTTCACGATTTGGACTTAATGATTGTGGTTGACAGCCAATCATCTCCTGAACTGGAACGAATGCACGTCCTCACAGGACGTTCAGCGTCCGGCTCGTCAAGCCAGATAAAAGCCATACATCAGCAACGCTGCTGTTGTTTCGACTTCCATACACTTCCTTTATGTCCTTGTTACATCCAGCTGCATCTGTTAGCACATTTCTCTAGCGCATGAGCTATAAATAGCGGAACGGCATCTGCACTGAAATTGCTTCCATTATATAGGGCTTTGAAACTAAAGCACGGGTTTGCGCGGACACAACAGCAAAACAAGACAAAGATAAAGGGAGAAGACAGATTTCTAAAAGATAAGTTGTTAAAGAAACACATTAGAATTTTGTGTGTCGGTTAAATATGTCAAGGGACGGAGGGAAAACATCCGACAGTGTGATAAATAGGTGCTGTATACGCTTGGTTTTTTTGTCCTCTAAAATTCCTCAAAGATTAAATCCTTCAACATTAGTATTAAAATATTCTGCAGTATTATATATATATATATTAGAGAAATTAATCAGATAAACACATTTACAGCAGAATGTTATGCAGTTTCCATCCACAAGTTGGTATTAACACACACTACGGGAAAATTGGCACTGAGGTTAAAACACCAATTTAAATACCCAGCATGCATTTGTGGACGCTTCAATGTCAGGTCAGACGCCCCTCTTAGGTGCATTTGGCACGATAGCTTATATGTACACGATTAATCATGATTAATCTTGAATTTTCTTTTTAAATTTCTACAGGATTCATTTTAAGTAGCTTCTAATTTTTAAAAAATGTCAGTAATTATAAAGACTGTGTAAGACAGTGTTTCCCAAACTTTTTTTTGGGGACCCATATTTTAAAAGTCCCGAACCTTTGTGACCCAAGTCAATGGACATTTTTCATAAACTCGTGGGAAACATGATGCAAGACGACCAAAAAAAAAACTCTTATGCGACCCACCTGAGGGTCGCGACCCGGTCTTTGGGAAACAATGGTGTAAGCGATATCAAGTAATTGCTATAAATATGTACCTATAATTGCTATAATAATTCCTATACTATATATATGTATATGAAGAGAGAAGAAGACTTGGACCTGGCAGATGAGGCTAAACGTCTAATTACGCGCCTATAGAATAACAGGGGTGAAATGTCATCATTTCAGAATAGAAGACTATTTCACACATGTGCAAGGGCTGATTCACATTTCACAGTAGGGGAAGCGTGGGGGGAGGGGCGTCTCCTTTTCACAGTCGCAGCGGGGAATATGCATATTCAGACGGTGGCAGGGCATGTACAGTATGGACACGCAGAGGTTTTTCAAGGGCATTCGCTGCAGCGCAACCACAGATCATAACCATAGCTGCTGTTTTTTCTCATGACGCCCTGAATGCATGTCGAGGTAGCTGTGAGTCACGCAGGTGGACAAAACTGGAGCAGAGAAAGTGTACGGTTGTAACCAGAGTTTGTGGGAGGAAACAGAGCAGTTGGCTTTTAAAGACGTCCATTTATAAGACACGGTCCAGGCCAGGGGGCGCCAGTTATGTTATTAAACATCGTTAACAAGTGAAGTTTTTTTTTTTAGGCGGCGGCGAATCGACTTGAGATAAAAATCAGGAACCACTGTCCAAACAACGTGCCGTATCGATCAAACATGAATGAAAACATGACTGTTTGATGACTTTGTGTGTGTGTGTTTATGCATATGTGTGAGTACTGGGTCTTTCCCCAGAGAGGTCTGTTCTGTTCCTCACCAAGGTGACGCCAGTTACCATGGTAGCAACATCAGCTCTGCATCTCCCTCTCTTTCTTCCCATCCTTGTGTCTCTCTCTCTTTTTTCTTTTTTTTTACGTCTCATTTTACCTTCTTTATTCTGTTTCTCATTTCACTGTCCTTGTCATCATCGTCATATTACGGAGGAGGGCAGGACACCAGCCATCACTTCCGTGACCCAGTTGTTGTTCATCCAAGGCCCCCGCTCATCTCCGACACACAAAATGGAAATTATGGAAATACAACATGCCGCCACCTTCTTTTCCTCTTTTTTCTTCCAAATTTCCCCCATCAATACAAGAGTGGGTGCTGACGGCCTCATTTGACTTCTCTGTTGCAGTCGTGCTTTGGCTCCGATGGTGACGGCAGCATTTCTATGCAGCGCCATGCTAGCTTCAAAGGGCTCGTGTCCTTTCCAGCTTCTTCATTAATTCTCCCTTCCCAGAAGTTTAGGCCTGTCTCTGCCGAGGCAAGACAGTGATTTGCGAATCCCCCTCATTGATTTTTGTCATCCCTCGTCCATCCGTCTTCTCTCTTCCATTCGGTTTGAACAATGTAATGACAGAGGCCACGCTACGTCAGAATGAAGACAAAAAGAAGTGAAGGCACGGAGCAGATATAGTAGAGGAGTGATTTCCATTTCCCAGTAGAAATCAATAGACTCTGATCTAACATTATGGGAGAGAGAGAGTACGCGTCTCTATGTGTATTTCTCTCTCTCTCTCTTAGTGTGTGTAATCGAAACATCCACATGTAGTCGTCTGGCTTCTACATGAATTTCTATTGCTACATGTAAATGGACCTAAATAGACGGCGTAATCTGCATCTGCATCCGAATATAATTAAACCCTGTTCATGTGCACGCTGCTAAAACAGAGGGACGGTGGGTAATCAATACTGACTGTAAATGATGGCTATAATGGAGCTGCGCTCGTGCTGGGTCGTCACGGTGGTGATGTGGAGCTTGTGCGTGTGTCTGTCTGTGTGTGTGCGTGTGTGTCTGTCTGTGTGTGTGCGCGTGTGTGTGGATGCTGTGCCGGCATTTGATCCCGTCTGTGTGACCTCCAGTGTAGGAGAAACAGAGAGGGTGTGGTTGGTGGGCAGACAGGGTCCCAGTCTCAGTCCTCGGTGTACAATAACAGTAATTCAATTTAGCAGTATGAGCCCAGGCCGCTGGGATTCACTGCCCGTGGGTGAAGTGTGTGCGTGCGTTTGAGTCATCAGGCAACCTGATCCTGTCGGCTCCCTCCTCAGGTCTGAATAAATAAGTGATCAAGGTCTGTGCTGTGAGTCTGTTTTTTTACTTTTAGCCTTCCCTTTTTTTTCTTTGCAACATTTTCACTCTTATAATTATTATCTTTGTATAGTTGACTTTGGGTTTTTTTCTTCAGCATATTTGAACTAAATTATTCTAGGTTTTTTTATATATATTAGAATATTAACATAGAATCTTTTGACATATTTGAATTTTATATATATATTTGTCTTTATTAACGCTTGTTATTATGAGACGTCAATTCAGATCTTTCAGGTGTCTCAAAAAGCTTTGGCAGATTTTACCCTCATAGGGTTAAAGGTGTCAGCTGTATTATGGGTTTTTTATTCCGATTTCTTCAACTGTCGGAAAAGAACAATGTTCGAATCAAAGCAAACGTCACATTTCTAACCGAACTTCCAAAAGAGACATATTTGTGATACCTTCAGTTTTGAGATTATTTGAGGAGAGCACTATTTCTAATGTCATGTTTGTCATTTCGGTAAAAAAAAAAAAAGGACAAATTTAAGTTTTGTTGTGATGCATGAGCCACTCAGATAAGCACTAGGATATCTGCTTTTCCCATCAGCGTTGTGTCAAGTAGTGCCAGACAAACACATTTCTTGTAGAAAAAGCTCAAGCTATTCTTGATTTGTCTAACCTAGAAAATCTGCATAAAAACTTGTCCTTTTTTAAAAAAAAAAAGTGTATCTCTGTTCTATCATTTGCTCCACTACTTCGTGCTTTTTTACCCACTCTGTTGAGCCAGACCTTGGCAGCTGCTCATCTTTGGGCCAATACATAAACAAATGGCAGGCCTCTTTGCCGGGCATGAGCTAACATAAGCACCTACAGAGCTGTGACT